GAGGAGGAGGAAGAGGAGGAGGAGGAGGAGGAGGAGGAGGAGGAGGAGGAGGAGGAGGAGGAGGAGGCTGGCGCCTCCCACCTGGAACGCCCACGCCCACAGTGCCGCCGCGCCGAGATGTCACGAATCTGCGGCAGGATGGCCAGAACAGGGTCTGGAACTGTTGCTGAGCGTGTCGCGGCGGCAGCCCCGGCGACACGCTGTGCCCGACAAGCGGATATAGCCTCAGGTCGGGCATGCCCATTTAGCGGCGGATTTGTGGGGAAAAAACGAGTACTCACAGAGTGTTCCAAACATGTTCAACAGTGCCAGAAAATCGTCCCCAGACTATTTTGTTGACACTATTCTTGTATATTCCTCCTGTAGACCCAGACCCCCGACGTCATGATTTTTTCATGGCGTCGACCCCCAGGGGTCTGGACCCCTTCCCGGGGACGGGGCTCTTCCTCCCGAGTCGTTGTTTGGCGGCCCCGCGGCCCGGCAAGGGCCCCCAGAGGCCGAAACTCGCGAAAAACCTGCCGTCGTGATTTTTGTCATGGCCCGAGGGGGTCTGGGGAGGGGCATGCCCGACTTGAGGACCAGGAGGGACGCCTGGAGACTTGGGACTTGCCGCAGGCGTGCCGCGCCGCGGCGAGGCGGGACAGCACTGGCCCGCGGAGGACGCGCAGCGAGCGAGCGTGCTCGCCCGCTTGAGCGGGAGGGGATGGGAGCCGCCTGGGCACCGCCGGGGGCACTCCTCGGGCCGCCTCGGGCCCCCTCCTCCTCCCCCTCCTCCTCCTCCCCCTCCTCTTCCTCCTCCTCCTCCTCGTCCTCCTCGTCCTCCTCGTCGTCCTCGTCGTCCTCCTCCTCCTCCTCCTCCTCCTCCTCCTCCTCCTCCTCCTCCTCCTCCTCCTCCTCCCTTTCAGCCACGGCAGGTTCGCGTCGTGCCGACCCCTGCCTTTTGGCGGCGCGCAGCACAAGGGGGTGAAGGGAGGGGGGAGGGCTTCTCAGAAGGGGGCTGCTTCTTAGAAGGCGCCGACCTTCGAGCTATAGGGAAGGCCCGCGCCTTCTAAGAAGCAGGGGTGCTTCTAAGAAGCCCTCCCCCCTCTCCCCACTCCCCTCTGCGCGTGGCTGAGCGCTGGTTCCTGACACCGCGGGGATCGTTCTGACTTGAACGATCGGACGCTCAGCGAACGCCGGATCGTTCCAGGATGGGCCGATTCTGGGCCACAGGCGGCGTTCAACCTTGAACGCCCGCGCTGGGGTCGCCGCCGGTCGACACGGCGCGAACCTGCCGTACACGCAAGAGTGACCCTGGGTAAGAGTGACCCTTGGTGCGCGGCTTTGTAGTGGCCGCGGGGGGACCAGTCACAAGCGCGCAAGAGGCTACCATCGCAGCGCGTTCGGCGAACGGGGGGGGCCCCAGTGAGCCCGCACCAGAGGGCACTCCGGCGAAGGGTCACTCTCGCGTGGAGTCGATCCTTGCGGAGCACTCCCGTGGCCATCCCCGGCCAGCACGGGCAGGGCTGCGGGGCCGTAATTAAGGGCCTCGCCACGGGCCCACTGATGCAGTTGCAGTGGGCTCTGTCGCTTAGCGAAGTGGCGGTCCGCGATGCGACGTGCCCAGAGGGTGCCTTTCTCTTCCGCGTCACTCCTGCGTCCTCCCTCATCCTCGAGGCCTCAGGAAATCACCTGAGGTCTCTGGAAGTCTCCGAGGTCCCCGGGCCCTGCGTGGAGGCCTCCAGAGGTTCCTAGAGGGAAGGTGCAAAACCAAGGGCGTCCGAAAGCCTTGACCTTACTCTTCCTCCTCCTCCTCCTCCTCCCCCTTCCCCTCCTCCTCCTCCTCCTCCTCCTCCTCCTCCTCCTCTGCCTCCTCCTTCTTCTCCTTCATCTCCTCCTCCTACTCCTCCTCCTCCTCCTCCGCCTCCTCCTCCGCCTCCTCCTCCGCCTCTTCCTCCGCTTCCTCCTCCTCCTCCTCCTCCTCCTCCTCCTCATCCTCCTCCCCTCTCATGCCTTCCTCTCTCCTCTTCTTCCCTCCTTCCCCTCTCCTCGCTGCTCGTCTCTCCCGCGCCCGCCGCCGCCAGCTCCTGCCACGACAGCTCGCGTCGCGGCCTCCCGCACCCTCGCCGCAAGCGGTGGTTCCGTACTACGAGGTGCCAAGGATCAGCTACTGCTGCCGCGACGACCGGATGGCAAACAAATGGGTGAAATGTCCTGATCTCAATGAATCAGAGGAGGGCAGGGTGAGACAAGGGTGACGTTTTTGCCTTTTTCGCCTCCGAGGGGCCTCCTCGTCGCCACAGCTGGACGCAGCGTGAAAAATCGGTGCGTTTGGACCCCGGGAGGGGTCCGGGGACCGATTTGGAGCCGATTTGGCCACCGTTGTCTTACGGCCGTTGTCTCACGTTGCTCTCCTCCGAATGAATGAATGGTAGGGCGTTTCCGGTTCTCAAGGAGGGTGCTGAATGCGCATCGCTGGAGGTTGGGCCCACTCCTCGCAGACCCTAATGTATCATCGTGCTCTTGGATTGTTGTGATCCTGTGAAAATTGTGTGTGTTTTTCTGCCAGTCCCAGCTCAGAGGATTGCGTCAGCCATGCAAGTTGCCCATATCCAAGACAAGGCGTGAGCACCTTGACAGGATAACTCGCGACCTGTATCCTAAAATCAAGTGAGTCTGAGCCTCGACCAGCATTTGCTTGCGTGGTGGATTTAACAAGTTAATCGCTTAGCGATGGCTGTCATTCCGGTAACTCCTTCGCCCCCTCCTCCGTCTTCTCCTCTTCTTCCTCCCTCGACTCTCCATCCGCCTTCTCCTCCGTCTCCTCTCCTCACACCCTCCCTCTCCCTCTCCCCCCTTGGGTTTCGCCCCCCGATGTCCAATCAGCACGCCTGAACGAAAGTGTCATTTAGTACCCTTGGCGGCGGTTGGAAGGACCCGCCGCCATACGCGTGCCTGTGATACGCACTCGCAGCACGCCGCACCAGCGCTGTCCTTTCTTCTGCTGCCCCTCCTCCTCTCAACGGCCCATGGGGAGGTCAGAGCTGCACGTAGCCTCGCCCATCTTGGCCATGCGTACGCATCTCTGGCTCGGCCGTATATTCCGCCAGTCCTCTAACTTGGCCACGACTTGACCGACACTTTACCTAGTAAGCTTGTGAAGGCGAAGAACCAAACTAACATGACCAAGCGACCGGGCACCCCAACATTGGCCGCCCGCTGCCGAAGGGGAGCGCCAGCCACGGCATCTCCGCGTAGTAGCCCATGAAGCTGGGCAAATCCCGGTCTCTGCTGACGAATACCACCTGGGGGGAGAGAACCACAGCAACGATCAGCACGTCCCGCTGTTCTGCCCACTCCACCACTTCTCCTGATCAGTCTCCCTTCCTCTGCACAGCACGAACCTCGCCTCCTCCTCCTCCTCCTCCTCCTCCTCCTCCTCCTCCTCCTCCTCCTTCTCCTGCTTATTCATGCCCTCCTCTGCCCTTTCCCTCGGAGACCACGAAAATAGCATGGGCAGCCAGCCGCGAGCGGCACGGGGGCGCCCCCGCCCCCCCCCCCCCCCTCTCCGTGACAGAAGCCGCTTGCTGCCGCGGCCCCCCCGTCGTCCCCAACGCCTCCACGGGGACGGAACCGTGAGATGTGCGTTTCGCCAGCGGAGGCGAGTCGTCTGCAACCCGCCCTGCGCGCAGGGGCCAGAGGCAGCAGAGAGGAGGAGGAGGAGGAGGAGGAGGAGGAGGAGGAGGAGGAGGAGGAGGAGGAGGAGGAGGGAGGCGGAGGAGGCGGAGGAGGCGGAGGTGGCGGAGGAGGCGAGACGGAGGAGGAGAGGCGCGGGGCGGGGGCGGAGGTCACGAGGAGACAAGAAAACCGGAGAGTGTAGCTGGGGGCAATCATACCTTCCCGGATAGACAGCGACCTTGCATGGCCAGAGACAGGGCTGGAAGCTGGCGGGGAGGGCGAGCGCGAGGAGGGCGGACGTGGAGGATCTGAAGAGGAAGCGGAGGAGAGGATGGCGGAGGACGGCCCCAGGAGGCCAAGAGGTGCGGTCTGTGCAGGTCGCTGCAGTCATCACGTCGTGAGTTTCTCTATCATGGGCCTCGGCATGAACGCTGTCGTCTCGTCAAAGTCTTCGACATCGTCGTCGTCACCTAGCTCAACCTCCTCCTCCTCCTCCTCCTCCTCCTCCTCCTCCTCCATCTCCTCCTCCCTCTTTGTCCTCCACCTCCCGCTGAAAGGCCTTCTCGGGGGAAAGGGAGGCCCTCGGCTTGCGATGGGTGGGGGGCTCGGCCCGAGCAGTACCCCCTACGTACCATGAGCCCCCGTTTTTCCCGCCCCCCGTCTCCCCTCCGAATTCGCGTTCTCGTCCCCGTGCTCCTCATCCTCCTCCTCTTCTCTCCCCCTCCTCGTTCTCCTCCTCGTCCTCATCTCCGTGCATCCTCCTCCTCCTCCTCCTCCTCCTCCTCCTCCTCCTCCTTCTCCTTCTCCTCCTCGAACGGCGGACACAGTCTGTCCCGCGCCCACGTTCCCTGAACTCCACGGGGAGCGCGGCGACAAGGCACTTCTCCCGGTCGGCGAACGCGAGCAGCGGCCGGCGGCTGGTCCAGCTCCCGCCCGGCTAGGCCGCCGCAGCCGCCCGGAGCTCGGCCGCCCGCCTGGCGCCGGCGCTGTCCGCGCCCAGCGCCGTCCTGAGCTGGCGGGCGGTGGCCCGGTGGAGGGCCACGCTGAGCTCCCGGCCCCACCGGGCCATCAGGGCGCCAGCGGCTGCCGGGGCGGCCTCGTCGTCGCCCAGGAGGGCCGCCTCCCCCCCCTCCTCCTCCTCCTCCTCCTCCTCCTCCTCCTCCTCCTCCTCCTCCTCCTGCCCATCCTCCTCCTCGGCCCGTGCGTTTTCTCCTCGGTGGTTTCGTTTGTGCCCGCTGAGGGCGAGGATCCCGAATTCGCGTGTGCGGACGAGCCGCCGGCAATCATCGGTAAACTCATGAGTTTGTATGCCCCCTGGATATCGGACGCTGACCGTCGTTTCCTGGCTCCCTCGGATTTCGCGACTCATCAAAGGCGGCGTAGAGCTGACCCTGGCTCCGCGGGTTCCGCCCCGATCAGCACCCGGCCTGGATTTAGCCGGACAGTCTCCCAGATCTCCCGATGCTGCCCGACAGTCTGTCCCGTCGGCGTCCGAGGGAGCTACAGCTGCACCGAGTTGCAGACGGCGACAGCTGAGGCCGACACCAAGGCCTTTCTGGCCGCAGAGGGCCACTTTGGCCCCCCATCTCCTGGTTCGCCCCCTCGTCCAACCCCACTCCGTTGTCGTGCGTCTCTCCTCCTCCTCCTCCTCCTCCTCCTCCTCCTCCTCCTCCTCCTCCTCCCCCTCCTCCTCCTCCTCCTCCTCCTCCTCCTCCTCGCCCCTCGCTCCTCCTCCTCCTCCTCGCTCCTCCTCCTCCTCAGATTACAGATTACAGAAGCGACAGTGGTCCACCGTGCAAGCACACTGGCCACTAAAGAAAAGAAAAAGAGGGACATCCACCTTGGATCATCCTGCTGCTACTGCTGCTGCTGCCTCCTCCCCCGAGAAAACCCGCCTAGCCCTTCGGCAACGACTGCACCAGGAAGGCGTCGTCGCACGGCGGGGCGCGGGGGGGGGGGGGAGGAGGGAGGGTAAGGGGTCCAAGAAAACACCCGACAATAACATAACCCGACAACTTGGACCCCTTACAAGAGGTGGATGGCAGCACTGCGTGCCCTTCATTAGCTTAGGAGTTGGAGCTGGGTCCTCGTTGAGACAGAATGGATGCTGTCAAGCTCTCGATGAACCACACTTGAGGCCTCAGCTCCTACTCCATCTTGCGCCTCTTGAGGGCATCAATCTCCATCATCAGCTCTAAATTCTGAGTATTGAGATCGACGGTCCTGCCACGCATGTAGTCAATCTGGTCAAGAGCCCGCTTGAGCGGGTCTGACTCTGACTCGGGAGGATCTGGATCTAGCACAACTGGGGCAGAGGCAGTGGAGCTGGAAGGGGCAGGATGGGGTTGGCAGCGCGGCAGGATTCGCGCTGGGCTTCGGTGCGGGGCGCTTCTTAGCGACCACACTTGGCAAGAGACGAGCAGCAGGCTTGGCTTGGAATGGCTGCTGAGGTGGCGGCTCACTTGGCGGCCTCGGGGGACCGATCTCACTATCACGAGCCTCGAGCTGGTCAGGAGTGAGCCACGTCCCGTTGCACTTGACCCCATCGCGGATCTTAGAGCACAGAATGCTGGGGTTCTCCTGCGCTCTCCAATGGTGAATCCAGCCTCCACATTGGTGGTGGTGCTGGCATTTGTAAATCATACTTGGAGCTCTCGGGGCGCTCGATACAAAGAAGCTGCGGCGGGAGGGGGGAACGAGGAGAAAACAAGCCTACTCTCTCTCTCTCTCGAACCCCACCCCGACGTTTCGGCGCGGACGTTCAGCGCATCTGACTATCAGCACTGACGTTCGGCACGCTCCAGCGTCCCCGAGGCGACAACATAAACAAAACAATGACAACACCCGAGGGGAGGCACGCTCCGTCGCCTTTAAGGAATCGCGCCCACCCGCATGGGCGCTACGCCCCCCCCCCCCCCTCGAGAAAGGCAAGCAAACAACAAAGCAAGCTAGGAATCAAACTGGACAGGGTCTGAAATTCTGAGGCCTCCAGATCCTGGGAACTCCTGCTTCTGGAGCTTTCTCAGTTCAGAGGACATCTTACGGGTGCAATTGCCTAGCAGTTTCGGAGAGCCTCTGCCCGAGGTGAATCCTCCGCACTCACTACAGAATATTAATGGGAGCTTGCTGCCAATTATAGTACAATGCACAATCTTATGGTGGCGGCCTCTGGCTTCGGCTGCCATGTCTCTGATCTTGTGTGGCACTGGTTTGCAAGAAGTGCGGGTGCGAGCGCTTGCAACTTTCAAGCGTGATCTGCATCTGAAAACTGATCCACTCCACACTGGGCCATGGTCCTGGACAAAAGGGCGACCTGCTCTCTGCGGCGCTGGCTTCGTGATGTCTGGCCACAGTTCCTTGGCTGGGGGCCAGAGCGCAAGGACCTTTCCTGCACCTAGGACAAGGGACTTATATAATTGCATGGCGGCCTCATGCTCCTCCACTTCATTTGTGTGTAAAGCATGTAGTTTAACTGCTTCACCAGCGTGGTAATCTGCAGCTTTGTTGCCTTGGATGTCCAAAGCATCTAGAGAGTCTGCTGCTTCTTCTGTCTTGCGATGCGCCTAGGTTTTGCGCAACTCAAGCCATGAATCGGAAGGGGGGTAGGATGCAAGTTTGCTCCAAAAGGTGGCAGAGATGCTGGCCCCTTGGGGCGATGCTTCGGGCTTTAAAAATCCTTTCATTAAGCCAGAGTAGTCTACGATTATGGGTGCGGTCCGTGGATGTTCCGACCACTGCACCGCTAGTAAAAGTCCTAAGTGCTCCGCATGCCCTGGCATTTGAGGACGCTGTCGTGGCAAGGGTGCTCTGACAGCTCGTATAAAGTTGCCTTCGCTGTCTGTCTGGACTGCTGAAGATCCTGCTCTCGAAATGTGAAGCATGGATGGACTTAGGCAGCTGCCATCAACATGTATGGGCAGGTTCGCTGCCATTAATTCTGGATTACAAGGACCGTCTGGTCCAATATGTTGTGGGGGGAGGTCTTCCACTGGTGGGTCTACTATGGCTCTCGGGACCCACAGCCTGTTAAATAGAAGTCTTTCCTCACCTGCTGCTTTGGCTGGTTCAATGAGGTCTGCAAGAAACTCCTGGCGTGCCTCCCCGGCATGGGGGCAGAGCCAGATTCGATGGTAGGGTGTGTCTAACTGCTGGCAGTAAGGGCATAATCCGTCAAACTGATAGCCCCACTTGACAAGTGCTTGGCCTGTTGTCAGACAGCCGCAAAATATTGTCTGACACATCTGGCCTCCTGAAAACTCAGATGTTTGGAGACCTTCTTAAGTGCGGGGGTAAACAAGTCCCGCCAGAGTCCTTGCTGTGCAACAGGGGGCTCAGGGGGAACTTGGAAGTGACATATTCCTGGATCAGTTTGTCCTTATGCTGCCAGACAAACTCTTTAGAGATCCAACGCGGGGAAAATTCAAGTATGTTAAGGGTGCACCCGTATCTGTCGATTAGATGGGTTGCACCTGGGGCTTGCCAGCCTGCCTGCTTTATCCAGAGGAGCAACTGGGAAACAGGGCCGCGCGACTTGGCAAGCCAGGTCTTGAACTTCGAATTGGCGAGTCCAGCTTTGGCGACGTTGAACACGCATGCTAGCTCCTTTGCAAATAATTTGTCGCGATGA